CACCCGGGGCAGTCGGAAGCGCCTAAGAATAGCTGACACCGGCCGAGTGCTCGGCTCGGACTTCGCGCGGGGCGAAGTGCCACGCTGAAGAGTTAATAGAAATTGGGGGAGGGTCTGGAGGGATGGAGGGAAAGGAGGAAAAGTGCGAGGAGAGGAGGTGTCTGCAGGAGTTAGATAATGGGGGCATGGGAGGATAGGAAATGGAGGATGGGGGTGCCTTGGGGGGTCTTAGATGCATGAAGATAAGGAGATGCGGAAGGGGCGAGGCAGCAAGAAGGGGGGAATCTGGAGCAGAGGAGGCGCTCTAGGAGCTCCAGGGGGCAACCGGGCCGTCTGTAAGACTGATATGAGAAGGGCCCTTAGAGGATGTCCAGGAATAATAGTGAGGTGGGAGCTCCTGTATCACTGGAAGAGCTGGAACGATCAAATATTAGGGATCAGGGTCTGCGGGGGTTGTGGAGGCTCTGGGGATTGCTAGAAATTAAGGGGAGCTCTAGAGATAACGGAGGTCCCGTATCACAAGGAGACAGCGGAGGCTACGGGGGACGGCAGGGAGAGCGAGGGTCGCGGAGGTGCGGACCGAGTCGGGCCACGGGTCACTCACCGGCGCCGCCGCAGCCGCCGGTGGGTCAGGGCTCGGGCTTCTGCGGCCTGTTCCCACCCCCCGCCTCCCTCCCTCCCCTCTTTGGGCCCCGCCTCCGGCCGCCCCGCATGCCAAGGCGCAAGCGCGCCCAGGGCCAGTCGGCCACAACGCCCTTACCGCCTGGGTTTCATTCCCACCTCCCCCAGCACAGCGCAGGCGCAGAACTGCGCTCCGCCGAGCCCCACCAGCAGGCCGCAACTGCGCAGCCGTAAGTTTAGCGCCGCGCGTGTACCCTAGCCCCCTGGGGCCACAAAGGCGCACGCGCAAAAACTCCGTCGCGCGCATGCGCGTGTCCCGGGTCGTACCCGGGACTGGGTCTCGGCGCAGGCGTAGCGAGCCTTGGTGGCAGAGACACTGGGAGCGCGCCAGTACTCAGCCTTTCGGACAGTCTTCCAGCCCACCCTGCTCTCTAACTACGCAACTGTCCCTTTCTCTAGGAGAAAGGGGAGGGAGGCAGCGCTGAAGGGAAGCGTTTTGTCTTCTTGACAACTGCGTGGGTGGAGTGGAAGCGTGAGGAAACCGCTTTGCCTCCAGGCTTGCCCGCCCCTGTGCTGGGCAGCTCCAGAGCTTCCCACCTCGCACCCCCTAGAGGCGGGGCGTCCTGGGGATGCCCCGCCCCGGGCGGATGCGGTAACCATAGCAACCCACAAGCCTTCCAATCACGCCTTGGGGGCCCCTCTGTCCGCACCTTTACCTCGTGGAGCGGGGAAGATAAGAGGGAATAGCTTCTTGGCTGGTAGGGAGGGAAATCCTGACGCCGGCATGACTTTAAGCAAGTGCACGGAGATAGGAAAGAAGCCAGAACGCAGGTGAGGTGAGCCGAATGGCAGGATGATGGAGCTCAGTCCGGCTGAGAAATGTGTTCGTTAGCATCCTGCAGGAGTCCTCAAGGTCATGCGACAAGCGGTGCTTCATTCATCGACTCAATAAATATAAATGAGCACTTATACAGTTCCTGGTACAATGAACATAAAAGCTAAAATCCGTAGCCTGGGCCGGGCGCGGTGGATCTCACGCCTGTAATCCCAGCACTTTGGGAGGCCGAGGCGGGCGGATCACCTGAGGTCAGAGATTCGAGACAAGCCTGGCCAACATAGTGAAACCCTGTCTCTACTGAAAATACAAAAATTAGCCGGGTATGGTGGTGCATGGGTCGTACCCGGGACTGGGTCTCGGCGCAGGCGTAGCGAGCCTTGGTGGCAGAGACACTGGGAGCGCGCCAGTACTCAGCCTTTCGGACAGTCTTCCAGCCCACCCTGCTCTCTAACTACGCAACTGTCCCTTTCTCTAGGAGAAAGGGGAGGGAGGCAGCGCTGAAGGGAAGCGTTTTGTCTTCTTGACAACTGCGTGGGTGGAGTGGAAGCGTGAGGAAACCGCTTTGCCTCCAGGCTTGCCCGCCCCTGTGCTGGGCAGCTCCAGAGCTTCCCACCTCGCACCCCCTAGAGGCGGGGCGTCCTGGGGATGCCCCGCCCCGGGCGGATGCGGTAACCATAGCAACCCACAAGCCTTCCAATCACGCCTTGGGGGCCCCTCTGTCCGCACCTTTACCTCGTGGAGCGGGGAAGATAAGAGGGAATAGCTTCTTGGCTGGTAGGGAGGGAAATCCTGACGCCGGCATGACTTTAAGCAAGTGCACGGAGATAGGAAAGAAGCCAGAACGCAGGTGAGGTGAGCCGAATGGCAGGATGATGGAGCTCAGTCCGGCTGAGAAATGTGTTCGTTAGCATCCTGCAGGAGTCCTCAAGGTCATGCGACAAGCGGTGCTTCATTCATCGACTCAATAAATATAAATGAGCACTTACACAGTTCCTGGTACAATGAACATAAAAGCTAAAATCCGTAGCCTGGGCCGGGCGCGGTGGATCTCACGCCTGTAATCCCAGCACTTTGGGAGGCGGAGGCGGGCGGATCACCTGAGGTCAGAGATTCGAGACAAGCCTGGCCAACATAGTGAAACCCTGTCTCTACTGAAAATACAAAAATTAGCCGGGTATGGTGGTGCATGCCTGTAATCCCAGCTACTCGGGAGGTGGAGGCAGGAGAATCGCTTGAACCAGAGCAGAGGTTGCAGTGAGCTGAGATCGTGCCACTGCACTCTAGCCGGGCAACAAGAGCGAAACTCCATCTCAAATAAAGGAAAAGAAAAAGAAAAAAAAGTGCCGCCTTAGGCACCTGGGGTACAGCAGTGAACAAAATACTGATTTCCACTCTCAGAATTTCCTTTCTAGCGGGGGATGGGGGATGGACAGGAAGTAGATCACTTCATCAATCAGGTATAACACAGAGGAACGCAGCCAGTAGGGGGTATGTATGAAGCAATTTGTTGCAAGGAATTGGCTTACAGGATTGTAGGGCTGGCTAAGCACCTTCAAAATCCATACAAAGGGCACCCGTGGGAAGTGCAGGCTGGAGCTTTGGGCGTGAACTGAAGCTGCTCTCTACAGGTGGAATTTCCTCAGGGAAGCTTCGGCTCTGCTCTGAAAACCTTTTGAGTTATTGTAGCAGGTCCACTCAGATGATGATGATTATTATTATTATTATTTATAGAGATGGAGTCTTGCTCTGTCACCCAGGCTGGAGTGCAGTGGCATGATTTTGGCTCACTGCCAACCTCTGCTGCCCCGGTTCAAGCAATTATCCTGCCTCAGCCTCCCGAGTAGCTGTGATTACAGGCGCCAGCCACCACCCCCAGCTAATTTTTTGTATTTTTAGTAGAGACGGGGTTTCACTATGTTGGCCAGGCTGGTCTTGAACTCCTGATCTCAGGTGATTCGCCTGCCTCGGCCTCCCAAAGTGTTGGGATTACAGGCGTGAGCCACCGTGCTGGCCTATTATTATTACGTGAGACAGAGTCTCATTCTGTCTCCCAGGCTGGAGTGTGGTGGTACGATCTCGGCTCACTGCAACCTCCGCCTCCCAGGTTCAAGCAACTCTCCTGCCTCAGCCTTCCAAGTAGCTGGGACTATAGGTGCGTACTACCATGCCTGGCTAATTTTTGTATTTTTAGTGGAGACAGGGTTTCACTATGTTGGCCAGTCTGTCTTGAACTCCTGACTTCAGGGGATCCACCTGCCTTGGCCTCCCAAAGTGCTGGGATTACAGGCGTGAGCCACCGCACCCGACCCCCTCAGATTATCGAGGATAGATTTCCTTCCTTAAGGTAAACTAATTATAGGCTTTAATCACATCTATGAGATATCTTCACAGCAGCAGCTAGATTCATATTTGACTGAATGACAGGACAGCGGTCTAGACAAGCTGACACGTGAAACTGACCATTGCAACCAGAGACATAAACTACTCAGCTGCGCGGCACGTTAGATAATGATAAGTGCTAAGGAGGAAAGAAAAGTAGAGATGGGTTGGAGGGATCAGGAATATGTGGGTGGGAAGGCCTCGGGGAGAAGGTGACCTTTGAGCAAAGGCTTGCAGGAAGTGGCAGAGTAGGCTATGTAGGTAGGTATCTGGGCCAAGAGCTGTCCAAGGAGCCAGAAGGGTGAATGCAAAGGCCCCGAGGCCAGAATGTTCCAGAAGTGTTCGGGGAACAGCTTAGAGGACAAAGTGGCTTGAGAAGATTGAGGAAACGGGAGAGGGTGGGAAAAGAGCCAGATTTGGGTGAGAGGCAGATTGTGTGGGGCCTTGTGGGCCGAGATGAGGATTTTGGCCTTTAGTCAGAGTAAGACAGTGACCACAGGAGGGCTCGGAGCAGAGGAGGGAGGTGAGCTGGCTTGTGTTTTAATGGGATCACTTTTGTTGGGTTTTAAAAATATACTCTTGGCCGGGCGCAGTGGCTCACGCCTGTAATCCCAACACTTTGGGAGGCCGAGGCAGATGGATCACTTGAGGTCAGAAGTTTGAGACCAGCCTGGTCAACATGCCAAAACCCCGTTTCTACTAAAAATACAAAAATTAGCCAGGCATGACAGCAGGCACCTGTAATCCCAGCTACTCGGGAGCCTGAGGCAGGAGACTCGCTTAAACTTGGGAGGTGGAGGTTGCAGTGAGCCAAGATCATG